CTAGAAATCCATTTTCCTACATTTCCTCCTCAAGCAAATAAGTCAACTGAACTTATCAGACAAATATCTTTCCTGCTGTGCAAAATTCTCCAGATCCTAATCGTCTCCAAAAATTAGTTAGGAAAAATTGTCGATAATTAGAAGTCCCATATTTCCTTGGTGCTTTAATTGTTAGGCCCTACCGATGGACCTCTTAGTCTTTGCTTAACCGGCCTCCCAACTCAGCCCAAATAAGCTCTTCTCGACGGTTGTTTTCTTCATTCTTTTTTCTTTCTTTCAGATAACTTTAGGTACCTAGCGTGGTAGAAAAGTTGAGACATCACTAGATTATTAACATTGTTGGTTTGAGTCTTGCTTTCAGAGATTTTTTTCTAATTTGTTATTGAATTTTTCTAATTTGTATACCTATGCATAGGTTAAGGGAGTTTTTAAAAGAATAAAAATTTATATTTAATTTATTAATCATCTAATTAAATTTATTTATATAATAGTGACATTAAAATTAATATTAATTTTTATTTTTGATATAAATTTATGATAAAAATATACTTTTAACATATATTATGAAAATATACGTTAGAAAAACTCTTTATTATTTATTATTATAATTTAATTTAAAAAATGAGTTTTTGTACACTGTTTAAATTGTCCTCACAATATATAAAATAGCAAATTTGTAATCAAATATGCAGGACTAATTATAAAATTCACAATTCCTTCCGTACAAATACAAATTTTCTTAGTAAAAGAATATAATCAAAACTGAAATTTCACAAATAAAAGAAATAGTCAAATATTTTGTGTACTCTTTTTTTTTTTTTACACAGCTAAAATAGATTAAACAAAGCCACATGGCATTTACAGAAGAAATTATTATTTCATGGATAATAATTTATAGTGAAACAAGGAAAGCACAACCAAGGAGAAATATAACAAAAGTAAATCAAGTTCAACATAAAATAAATATAAAAAAAAACGATGAATAAATTCACATAAATAACTTTTAAAGAAATTAACTTTTACAACTTTTTTTAGTCAAATATTTCAAAGTAATTGGACACCTTTCAATCTATTCTTGAAACAAATAAACTTGCTCTCCATGATGCCATGCCTAGAAAATTCAAGTATGCAGCGACCAACCCCAAATTTCCTTTTTGTCATCTTATTAGCTGCTATATCTAAATAAAACAAAATAAGAAAATGAGGAACAAAAGAAGAAACAAAGACCACCAAAAGTGGCCACAAAAGAAGTCAATAGACACCTCAAGGTGATCAATGAATAAAGGAACAAGATGGGCTAGCTCCAGCATGCTCGAGAAGCCAGAGAGCTTCTGAGCACAAAAAAACAAAGAAATTTTGAAAAGGCTCTAGTTAGAAGTAGGAGGGTTCTAGAGCAGAGAGAAAAAGGACGATGAAGTCAAATATTTTGTGTTCTTTTAATGGTCGGTATATGTCCCAAAATAATAATTCCAAAATGATTAGTGCATCAACAGCTGCCGGCGCCGCCACCACCTCCACCTCCACCGCCACCACCATCACCACCACCTCCTCCACCTCCACCACCACAACCAACTCCACCACCTCCACCACCACCTCCATCATAACCTCCTCCCATATAGCCTCCTCCACTACACCAATCAGCACCTCCACCACCCCAATCAGCACCTCCACCAATATCTATGCCTACTTGATCTCCAATTACGCCTCCACCCCCCCTGAAACTATGAGGTCCATCACCTCCACCATGGCCGAACCTACCGCCATATGCAGGGCCGCCATATTTTCGATTGATACAACAAATAATAATTGTAATAATAATTGTAGCAACGGAAAATGAAGAAAGAGCAATAATTACAGCTATAAAGAATTCCAATCCCATGAGTCCTCCCACAAATCAGAATTTCTGAATTCCTCAATCTATCATTTCAGCTATTTATAATAGTTCGAGATACCCCAGAAACTTTAGACTCTAGAGACAGAAAATTCAGATAATGAAAGGTTTTTACATATTCAGCCGTTGACATTTCAACTTCAATATAATATTCTAGCAGCAACATTATGGGAAAAGGTCAAAGATCAAACACTGTTGTTATAATTGAAAAATACTACCAGTTTGAACGCATCATTCAAGCGATCCTAGGTGTCGATAACATGATATATTTTAGTCAATATTAGTATAACCTTGAGCTAGCTTCAAGCAACCAAGTTTAGGCACTTGGTCCTTCGGGCCAAGCGGCCTTAGAGCTACTTTGCAGTGCATTTCCCCTTCCTTCATGGTGGGTTCGATATCCACCCTTGTAAAGTTGGTCAAAAATAATAATAATAATAACCAAGTTTAGGGTTAACAAGCATCTTGACTCTTGACCCAATGGGACATCGGCCGTCGGAGAAGATGTTCTGCAGCTTCTTTTGAGCTTCCCAGTCTCCATCTAATTTTGAATTGGGTTGGGTTGAGTTGGGCTTTAATACTGAAAATTTCAGGGCTTGAGATGGGAGCACTGTGCCACTGTTTACTGATCAGCCCAACACAGATAGATTATTGGATTGGTCTTATTGACCATCCACTAGGGCTGAGCATTGGGTACGGGTACACCTAGTATCTGTGAGTACTTGATTTGTCTGCATATGTATTTTACTATTACCTATAAAGAAATGAGTAAGTACTGGGTATAAAAAATGTATACCTATTAAGTATTGGGTAAGTATTGAGTATGAGAGTGAATATTTGCATAGCTGACCTGTATACCTAACTCATATACTTTACTTATATATCTGGCTCATATACTTGACTTATATTCTAGTTTTATATATTTAATTTGTTATATAATGTTATGAAATCAAAATGTTTATGTTTTTTTTTCTTTTCTTCTGGCAGTGAAAATTCAATTGAAGGAAAATTATATGGATTTTTGTTTATATTTCTTTTATTATTGTATATATACTTGTATATGTGTGAGTATATATACTTATGTATTTTGTTTTATATATAAACTTGCATTATATATATGAACTTATATTATATTAATTTATGCATTTTCAATGTAAAATTTAACAATTACATAAATATACTTGTAAATATACTTGTATCTAATAAGTTGAGTAACGGATATAAAATTTTAATATCCAAGTAAATACTGGATATTAAAATCTTGGACAATTATACATACACCCAAAAAATAACACCCATCTCAACACCCAAGATTAAAATGAAGAGGAGTAAATTTGTAATTTTACTGTTCATAAACCTTGGGGGTAGAGATGTGTTGATTTTTTGGATGCATGTATAATTGTCCTAAAATCTTATACCTATCACTATTCAACTCAAGTATAGGTATGACCCAATACTTGACCGACACCTACCTATGCTCACCCCTACCATCCAGGTGGTCATTTTACAATGGGTAAGCCTTGTGCATAGGCCTTTGCTTATGGACCACACGAAATATTTGTTATTTGTTAAGGTTACATACAAAAACAATGTAAATTTATTTATTTTTTGGCCTTTTATTGTAAATTTATTTGATTTGACTAATTGTATTAGTTTATAGCTAATTAATGTATATGAAAAGATCAACATATAAGTTGATTTTAAATTTTTATATAATGCTTATAAAAAATTTTCAATAATGAATATCATTCATTCTATAAACTATTAATTAATAATTATAACTATATTAATTGTTATAAATAGTCAAATTAAATATATTTATGGTATTTCCTTGGTCATAACCATGCCCAGGCGAATGCCTGAATAATTAGAAACAGCATTAGCTGTTTGTTTAGCACATAATCATTTTGGCCTGTTGGGAAAAGCAAGCCAAAAAGAAGGCGAAGAGGAATTGGAATTTTGAAGTCCTAAGTCCTAACGACCAACTGCCACTGGAGACAATCATCATCTCGAGTTCTCGACTTGCACCCGAAATTAATGGTCAGTTTGTCTCCTTGCCCCGTTCGATCTGTCCTCGTGGAAAATGTTAAACTAACATGTAAAAAAGTTTGACTCCTTTTGTTTTGATGATTGTATATATGTACAGTTAACACAAGTCAAGCAATTGAATGCTAAGAATGTTATGAAGAACTCGGATTTGTATAGAATCTTAGTATGCTCATTTTTTTCAATTTTAATTCCTTCTGATCTTTAGCTTTATGGAACCTAAAGGATCTGGTGGTGGGTATGCTGCTGCACACTGATCCCAATTACATTGTCTTGAAAAAAATAAAAAATTCCTTTTCCCTCAAAATTCAAATGCAAAGAGAGGAACACTAACAGCGCTTCGGTACTTCAATATTCTTCATCATGTGTTAAAAAACTCGGTGAATGAGAATGTACAAGTAGATTAGAGAGAATTAACAAGAAAATTAACCCATTAATTTCAATTACATGCTGTTTTCAGTATATGAGCACTCAAAATCCGGTTCATCCTCTGTACAGGACACACTCTCATCCTCCGCTCCCCCGTTCTCTCGCTCTCCCTCGCGCTCTCTCCATCGATTGTTTTCCTAATTTCTTTTGCGCCTCTGTTACGACAGTTTTATTAATTACAAAAAAATTGTTGTACAATCTAAACTATAAAAATTCTTTGATAAAAAGCAACCCTCTCATATTGAGGCTTTCCTCAATTTAAAGATCTAGATGGTAAAAAATAAACTAATTAAGGTTTTGTTTAATATGATTGTAATTTTAAAATTTTTGTTTGGTTTTTAAAAATTTTATAACCCTAAAATAAAATTAAGAATTTTTATAAATTAATTAGATTTAAAGTTTTAAATATTTGTTTTAAAATTTTATATCAAACAAGTTAGCAATTTTAATTTTTAATTTTGATTATTTGAATTTTAAAAATCATAATAAAAAACTAAAAATTAAATACCACAATCATACTAAATTGAGTCTAGTTAAACAAATTTAAAAGAAATTTTCAAACTTATTTGGTTGTTCGAACTGATGTTAGAAACAAAATTTTCTAGAAATACATTTTCCTACATTTCCTCCTCAAGCAAATGAGTCAACTGAACTTATCAAACAAATATCTTTCCTGCTGTGCAAAATTCTCAAATCCCAATCGTTTCCAAAATTAGTTAGGTAAAATTGTCCATAATTAGCAGTCCCTTATTTCCTTGGTGCTTTAATTGTTTGGCCCTACCGTTGGACCTCTTAGTCTTTGCCTAACCGACCTCCCTACTCAGCCCAAACAAGCTCTTCTTGATGGTTGTTTTCTTCATTCATTTTTCCTTGTTTCAGCTAGTTTTAGGTATCAAGCGTGGTAGAAATGTTGAGATATCACTAGTTTATTAACATTGTTGGTTTGAGTCTTGATTTCTTACAGTTTTATCTAATTTGTTATTGGATTTTTCTAATCTATGTTTTTAGACACAGTTTAAAAAAATAAAAATTGATATTTAATTTGTTAACTTATTAATTAAATTTATTTATATGATAATAATATTGAAATTAATGTCAATTTTTATATTTCTTTATATAAATTTACGATAAAAATATATTTTTAACCTATACTTTAAAGATATACATTAAAAAATTTTAGTATTATTTATTATTGTAATTTAATTTAAAAAATTAATTTGTACACTGTTTAAATTGTATTTAATAACAACAAATCTGTAATCAAATATGCAGGACTAATTATAAAATTCACAATTCCTTTAGTACAAATACAATTTTTCTTAATAAAAGAATATAATCAAAAAAGAAATTTTACAAACAAAAGAAATAGTCAAATATTTTGTGTTCTTTTAATGGTTTGTAGACGTCCCAAAATAATAATTCGAAAATGATTAGTGCATCAACAGCCGCCGCCACCGCCACCTCCACCTCCGCCGCCACCACCGTCACCACCGCCTCCTCCACCTCCACCACCACCACCACCACAACCACCTCCACCACCAAAACCACCACCTCCACCTCCTCCATCATAACCTCCTCCCATATAGCCTCCTCCACTACCCCAATCATCACCTCCACCGATATCTATGCCTACTTGATCTCCACCTTCCCCGAAACGATGAGGTCCACTACCACCACCATGGCCGGACCTACCGCCATATGCAGGGCCGCCATAAAATCGACAGATACAACTAAAAATAATTGCCACAACGAAAAATGAAGAAAAAATAATAATTGCAACTATAAAGAATTCCATGCGTCCTTCTACAAATCAGAATTCTTGAATACCTCTATCCATCATATCAGCTATTTATATAGTTCGAGATACCACAGAAACTTTAGACTCTAGAGACGGAAAATTCAGACGATGAAAGGTTTTTACATATTCAAACCGTTGACATTTCAACTTCGATATAATATTCTAGCAGCAACATTAATTATGGGAAATGGTCAAAGATCAAACATTGTTGTTATAGTTGAAAAATACTACTAGTTTGAACGCATCATTCAAGCGATCCTAGGTATCGATAATATGATATATTTTAGTCAATATTAGTACAACCTTAAGCTTCAAGTAACCAAGTTTAGGGTTAACAAGCATCTTGACCTTGACTTTGGGAATGGGATATCGGCCGGGTTGAAAATGCTCTGCAGCTTCTTGTGAGCTTCCTACCCTTGGTCTAATTTTGAATTGGGTTGGGTTGCGTTGGATTTTTAATATTGAAAATTTCAGGGCTTAAGATGGGAGCACTGTTTATTGAGCCCAACACAATTAGATTGTTGGATTTGGCTTATTGACCATCCATGTTAACTCAAAAGTCATAATGGGTAGGCCATGCGCACGGGACTTGGCTTATTGGCAACACAAACATTTGATAAAATCGCACAAAAATAATGTAAATATATTTATTTTTTGGCCTCTTATTATAAATTTATTTGATTTAACTAATCATGTTAGTTTATAACTAATTAATGTGTTTGAGAAGATGAACATATAAGTTAATTTTAAACTTTTAAATAATGCTCATAAAAAATAAAGATTTAAGCAATAAATATCATTCATTACATAAATTATTAATTAATAATTACAACTATATCAATTGTTATAAATAGTCCTGTGATTATTTTTTTCATTGAAAGTAAAAGATTATGAGTTTTCGTTGTAAATAAAAGATTATGAGTTCGAGTCACATGACATATGAATGATATGAAATAAGAATGGGAGATGATCGCTTCCAATTATATAACCAAAATAAAAAAAATAAAAAAAAAACTGTTATAAATAGCCATCAAACCAAATATATTTATACTATTTTTTTAGCCATAACCATGCACATGCGCATGCCTGAATAATTAGATACAGCATTCGCCGTTTGTTTAGCACATAATCATTTTGCCTCCAACCTTAAGAATATGAAATCGATTATGATGCACATGATCATGTTATTATTCATGTTGGCCTGTTGGGAAAAGCAAGCCAAAAAGAAGGGGAATTGGAATTTCGAAGTCCTAACGACCAACTGCCACTGGAGACAATCATCATCTCGACTTGCACCCGAAATTAATGGTCAGTTTGTCTCCTTGCCCCGTTCGATCTGTCCTCGTGGAAAATGTTAAACTAACATGTAAAAAGTTTTGGCCCCTTTTGTTTTGATGATTCTATTTACGGTTAACATAAGTCAAGCAGTTGAACGCTAAGAATGTTACGAAGAACTCGGATTTGTATCGAATCCTAGTGTGCTCATTTTTTTCCATTTTAATTCCTTCTGACCTTTAGCTTTATGGAGCCTAAAGGATGTGGTGGTTGGTGTGCTGCTGCACACTAATCCCAATTACATTGTCTCGAAAAAAATAAAAAATAAAAAATCCCTTTTCCCTCGAAATTTAAATGCAAAGAGAGGAACGCTAACAGCGTTCCGGTGCTTCAATATTCTTCATCATGTGTTAAATTACTCGGTGAATGAGAGAGAAATATGTATAAGTAGATTAGAGAGAATTAACAGGAAAATTAACCCATTAATTTCAATTACATGCTATTTTCAGTATATGAGCACTCAACACCCGGCTCATGCTCTATACAGGACACACCCTCATCCTTCACATCACACCACCCAAAAAAATCAAAGATGAAAGAAGAGAAAAATAGAAAGGGAATAGCACAAACAAAAAAAAAAAGAAGAAGAAGAAGAAGAAGAAAAGCGTTAAATTATCAGACAAAATGGCAGAGGATGCATCAAACGCCGGAGTAACCCCCGCCGTCGCAAGAACAACCACCGTTGTCGCTGCCTATGTCGCCAGGTTGACGTGGCTTGGTGCTGAGACAGCAACACATGAGACCCACCAGTAGCATGAAACCCCATGCCGTTGCCAAAGCTTGTACCCATTTCAAGTATTGATCCATTTTTCTTTTGCTCCAAGTTTTCTCCTCCTTTGCTTTCTCTCTCTCATCATCATCTTCAAAACATTAACTCCAAGTTATGGTCTTGCTCATTACACCGTGGTCTGGCCCGAATTAATGAAGATGACATGCAGATGCACCTATAATTTTTTAGGGGAGAAAGAAAACAGGATCTGGAAACAGAAGGGGAAGCACATGGACGAAGCTTAAAAAGGGCCGGAAGCAACATGGTCCAGCCTGTGAATTTATGGGAACAGGAAGTTAACTCTTTTCCATACGTCAAAAGTCTTAGAAACCACACGCATTGCTTTTGTTTTGATGGTCCTTTTCCCCATTTCTTTTTTTCTTTTCCTTACATCACAAAGTACACCATCTTACGGGCCTCTTTTTCTTTTTTAATTAAATATGGTAAATATCTGGGAAAAACTAATTGCTTTATTCCCTGCAATACGAAATAAAATTTCATTGCATGATTAATGTTTAGGCTATTATTTAATAATAACAATGAAAAAAGAATCAAATCCGTTTAAAAATGTTCAATGCTAGCTCCGGAATTTCTTTTCCTTCTCGATGAGAAGTCTAATTTCAGCGACGGATGCTGTCGGTGGTCTAAAAGTTCAATGAGCACTATCATGTCCACAAATGAAATGACCATCTAGCCGACATCTTCAACAACTAGAAAAGAAAATAGCAGAAACAACTTTCACTTTCCAAGCAGGTGACAAAGCTTGACCGTCGCTGCTGGGGTTGGGTAGGTGGATGAAAAACAAAGGACGATGCCTAATGGAGAAGTGGCATCGCTTAATAAATAAGGAAAACCAAATTGAGAAGAACACTTTGTTGATTTGTGAGACACTATAAAGACTTCTTAGCGAAGAAGGAAAATTCCGCTGAGCTGTTAATTGGGCATTACGTCTCACAAACGCGTGGGACGCTTACTTCTTAATTAGTGCCAAAACTAATTGCTAACGACCAAAATTGGATTTATTAGTAAATGTCATCTCATAAATTTAGTATTTAAAATTTAAAATTAACATTAAAAAATAAATTTTCTAAATACCGAATCAATATAAAAGATAAACCTTTAAAATTATCCCCAAAAAAAATTAATCTTGATATACTAAAAAAAAATTAATTTTTTTTAAATACATAAAAATCATCTACAGATAATCTGTAGAAGAATTAGTCTTGACGAGGGTGATGGGAACGCCAAAAACCCCATTACTGACATATTTCCAAAGGCCCCTAGCAAACAAAACCCTTCGTTCTAAAGCAAAATCAAAGAGTTCACAGCGGAGCATATGCTAGGGAAGAAAAAGCCATGCATTTGTATAAAATCATTCACAAAAATCTCTTAAAACTAAAAGCATGATATTTGCTATTGATTTGAACTCACACAATAAACTCCTTATTAATGTTTATGGGCAACAAGAATTAAACGTCTAGAAAGAGAATTCTGCGGTGACTCTGGAATTCTACAAATGCTTTAACTCACTGCTTGTAAAATTCCTGCTTTTTTCACCATTGAGGAGGAAGGCGCGGGGGCCGGGGAGTTCTGTTAAGGTTGGGGTGCAAATGAAAACATCCTCCAACTTTCTCTAAACATGGGGACTTTAAAAACTCTGATTTACAGAAATAAGAGGTCCTGACAATTTACATCATGTTGCCTTCTCTGCAAAGATTAGCAGGGATCACCCCAAATCTAGCCAGAAATACTATTTGTAGCAACAGAATCAGATAAGCCTAGCCAATATTATAATAGCAGCATCACGAGCTTCATGATCAACAGTGCCACCGCTGCCTGAAAGTAAAGCTATTGTCAGAATAGAATTCTAAATAACCAATAATAATGCAGGGCTCCAATACTAGAAAGTCAATGTTGAAAGGCATACAAGGTTAACTGTTCATAAATCGTTGGTTGGTACAATTGAATGGAATTTTATTTGCATGTTCAAGCAATGTTTTGATGCATTATGAATAGCATATCAATCCAATGTTCCTACAAGCTTAACACGCTAACACATCCTACCAAGAATGTTCAACCTTAACATGCATATAAACCAAACAATTGCAAACCTGAAAACCCTAGATTTTACTATTGGGCTACAGATCATTACAAATACATAGGTAGGAATTTGCCAAGAAACCAAAAGACAAACTCAATTCCTTTTCAAATCAATGCTTTACATTTTGTGAATATGTAGCCGCTGCAGACAAACTCGATGAAATCAGCGAAACAGTGAATGGAGGTGTGATTTTTTTCATTGATACTTAGGGTAAAAAATAAATAAATAAATAAATAAATAAAACTGTCTTTTCAATCACTCGGTTAAACAGATGGTCCATTGTTATCTATAATGGGAAAGATACTAATTTCTGCTTAAGAAAATCATCATGCCTCAAGCACCACCAGTCCAATGCAATTTCTTGCATGATAAAAGAAAAACATATGGGAATAGAAACTAGTCGGAGAAACTAAATGTCATGGGGTTTGGAGTCATGTGAATACAAATATGATTACTACTATTTAAAAAGAAATAAAGAAAAAAAAGGAAAAAAAACTCTTAAACGAGAGAACACCTAATATATAGATAAAAAAGTCAAGAGTATAAGATTGGAAGTGGATTTACTCACATCCAAGAAACCTTGTGAGCTACAGCTCACTATAATTGCGCCAAACAGCACGAAATTCCTCCCGGAATGTGTTAAGACGGGCCTTCAAGTTTGGTGTTCTAAAGCTGGCATGGAGGATAGTGGCTGTGTGAGAGAAAGAGAGAGCCAATTAGAAAATCTAAAATTCTAAGGAATTAAGGATGGAATGTGAAATGAATATATGATACATGACATACCAAGAAGTCCGATGGCAAGTGCCCATAAAACGGTCAAAATACCACAGGATACATACCAAAGGATGAAACTCACTGCAGAATGAAAAGAGAAACAAAGTCAGTTGGATTCTATACTATCTTGGAACACAGACTAAATAGTTTACATTACAAGAAATGACTCAAAGTTATTGCATACCAGAAGATGATATAAAGACAAAAACCCAACGAGGACGACCACATATGTAAACTGCTCTTTTAGCTGATGGACGTCCACGAATAACAGGCCTGGCAACAGTAAAGGAAAAAAAAAAGTTAATATTGAAAGAAATTAGATGCCATGTAGGCAGAAAAGGGAGCAAATGAACTTACGTAAGAGGAGGCCTCATTTTTGCAGCTAAATGTGGAGAGAATTGCCTCACAGTTCTTGTTACCTTCTCACTAAATGTACTGGCAAAGCTGCAGGAAGGAAAACACACTTAGTAACAACAGAAGAAAAAGTAATAGTGTTTTAGCTGGTAGAAATAATAAACTGGGCAACTATCTTTGTGTTTTAAAGGTACCTTTCAAAATAAAAAACTCCAGTAATCACAGCCATCCCTTTACTATCCCATTGCAAATGACAAATTAAGGCACCATATAACTCCTCAACACAAAAATACATATCAACTTTTTGTTTCCCAAACTAGCAGGGATTTTTTTTTTTTTTTTTTTAACTTAGAGAAAGTTGGGGGTGGGAGAGTGAGTGCCTAAGTTTGAACCTAGGATTTTTTTTTTTTTTTTTAACTTAAAAATCAAATAAGGATGTTAAAAAAAAAAAAGTATGAATCAGAAAATGAGGATGTGACTCAAAGATTTCCTTTAAGATAGTAAAATAAGAAAAAAAGGCTTGCTTTTATGTTATTATGTTAAACCAAATGATGAAGAGCAAGCAGGCAATTGTCCTTGATGTGGAAGCAGTGTGGGAACCACAAACCATAAGGTTGAGCTTTTACCTAATTTGGGAACATAAAAGTATAAAACTTACTCATAGTTGTTTCTGTTTAATAAAATGACAGCAAGTGTAGAAGATATTTATTTTCAGCCTTTCAATTCATTGATGCTTTTTAAACCCAATGAACAACTTTCTTTTGTCTCTGAGATTCTGGCAGACACCATATATCACATAATTGAGCGGCCAGCTAAATGTAGCACCCCCACAACACAATCACTTCATGAATTGGAGAGTACAAGTACAACAAAACTTACCTGTCATTCAGGAATGCGATACTAAGAGCTATTAAAATAGCAGCCAAAATAGCAAGTGGCCTTCTAAGAAAACCCAAACCTGCACAAAACATAACCAACATATGTACATAATACAGAGCATGAAAACAGGGTGAAAAATATACCGTAAAGCTGGGTTTTTCCACTTACCAAGAATGAGAACGATCATTATGAAGTAATTGGTCCGATAGCTGGAAAAAAAAACCATACAACTCAAATAAGAAGCTAATAATAAGCTAGTAAATGTTAGAAAAAAAAAATGATGATTCATTTCAACGACAATAAAATGCGATGAGTATTCCAACTGAACAACAAACTCCATAGAAAACAAAATGCAGTAAATGAAAGCGGAAATGGCTTAATCCTAATGAGATACCTCCATAAGAGCTTAAAGAAACAGAAAACTCTACTTCCCTAAAAGCCTACATTGAAGTTCAGCTATCATAAGTGAGAATAAGAATGATAAGAAACGGAGGAGTTGTAATTCATGCTCAATTCAATTTTCATGGATTCTCGGAAAAGGCAATAAATCAACGATTAGGAAAACAACAAATACGAGTTCACAGTAAAATCGCACAATAAGACTCACCACATATAACCATCAATCGACCACAAGGAGAAGGAAAAAAGCGAGAAAACAATCAGACGTTAGAGAGAGAAGTTGGGTAAAAATGATCTTACTAGTATAGATTGCATTTGAGGCGGCTGTTCCATTTGGCGTAGGATCTGGGGACGGTGAATCGAGAGAAGAACTCCGAGAAAGAGCGCGGCGGCGACGACCAATCCACTTCGCGAAGGGCGTCGATCAGATCCTCAGCAGTTACATTTCCCCAATCCATCGAAGAAAGAAAACCCTAGAAATTGATTTGAGAAGAAAGAGCTCAAAACCCTACTGCAAAACGAAAATCACGAGCAACCAGAGAAAATTCGAGCGATTTTGGTTTCTTGTATTCGTTCTATTACGATGTGCACCGAACAGATGATCTGCGGCTTTTATTTACCGTAAAAGTGAAAAGTCCAGACAGCCGGAAAAAGGAAACTTATTTCGAAGGGATTTCTCATTCTTAATAATGAAGTTATGAAGGGAAGTGGGAAAATATATGGATGTCTGAGCCCGGGTTCGAACCGGGGACCTCTAGTGTGTGAGACTAGCGTGATAACCAACTACACCACCCAGACAATTAGGATAACATTCCTGAAACATTGTAAGAATGCTAACTGGCTGTCCCACGTCCACACATCACCACTTGGAATGGTTGAAGTTTGGTAATCCAATCTTTACTAATATTTTATTATAATAATGATAATAATAATTACTATTAATAAAATTTAGAAAAATCAAATAACATCTTAGTATTAGAAACGTCAAAAACCTCCAATTATTTTATACTGCCTAAACTATTAATAGTTAAAATAAATAGAAAAGTAGAGCACTGTCTGCCTTATCAAAACTAAACTTTAATTAATTGTTAATAGTGCAAATTACAAATGAAACATTCTTTTTGAAATATTTAAAGATCCGATAAAACCTATTATTAGAGCCAGAATTCTCAAATGGAACCTTGTTCAGTTGAAGGTTAACTTAAAATTCTTTTTAAAAAAAATTTTAATCATATGATAAAAAATAATGTTTTACTCTTTAATTTATTTTATTCATATATTTTTTAATATTAATCTTTCAGTATCTGGTAATCCTCATTGAATCCCGATTAATTCAAAACTGAATTGTATCATATCCCATTAAGGTGAAACTCTTTTTGTATTTGTTTTTTTATTTACAAAACTCGAATTCAATATCTTATTTAAAAAAAACCAAACTCCTTCCATTTAAATCAACAAATCATTGATATTTTATTTATATATTATATAACTTTAAAATATCTTATTTTTATTAACAAATTATTATTAAATTATTTAACTCATACAATAACTTTAAAACAAATTTCTTTAAAACAAGAAAAAAAACGTGTTAAAAAAGATCGCTATTTTGATTTTCAGGTTTCCGAACAATTGTGATTTGGACACATCAACAAACAACGTTAACGAAACCATGTATAGATGTCTGTGCTCAGGTTCGAACCCGGGACCTCTAGTCTGTATACCGTCATCATAGTTCTTAAAACTGACCAATAAACGCTCTTCAAAATTTTCCAAACAAATGCGAATCGAACACGTCATCAAAAACGAAAATGTAAACCAGTAGAGTATCGGGTGTACCATAAGATGAACCACACGTTAACTTTTCCTCCACAGCGTGTCTGCGTTTTTTAGCTCGTGTCCTGTTTCAGCAATAAACCTCGATCATGCTAATTAATCAGATTTTTTCATTCTCTTCTTCACCCCCACGAGTAAATTTTTTATTAAAAAAAAGTAACAATGATTAAAATATTAAATCTCATAATAATCCAAACGAATTAGTGTTGGATTAAACGAAATTTACCTTTAATTGATTAATTAATTGAATCTTCACCCCGGTCGTATTGTCTCACTTTCATAATCAGCACATCAATTCATCGTCGTCTATCTGTTTGCCCACAATCAATAGGATCCCTTGATTTTGGGTTGAATCTTCGGAAAGATCCATTTACAGTATTATCTGCTGCTCTTATCCGCAGGGCTTGAATCGCGCTCGGTTCTTTTTGTCGGGTTGTAGAGTTCTCGGATTTCCGGTAATGGCTCAAGCGACGGGGAGGGGCCGGGTTGTGGGAGACTACCTTGTGGGGGGGCAAATCGGGTCCGGTTCGTTCTCCGTCGTCTGGCATGCCAGGCACCGGGTTCATGGGACGCAGGTGGCGATAAAGGAGATCGTGATGGGAAGACTTAACAAGAAGTTGCAGGAGAGTCTCATGTCGGAGGTTTCTATTCTGAAGAGAATCAATCATCCAAATATTATTCGATTGCATGATATTATAGAGGTTGGTAGCACTTGAATTTATTGTTGGTTGAAAAGTTTATTAATTTTCCGTTGAAATGACGGTGGGTCGAGAAATTGTGTTGGTCATGTCCTTTGATGCGTGTTTTTGCTTTGATTTTTGGACTGTATTTGAGAGGAATGCAGAAGAACAAGTATTGAGCTGATGAGATCCTGTGAAAATGTAGCTAAGCAAACTAAAACAAGACTTTTCAATTTTAGCTTGAGTTTGCAGATTTTCTTTGGACCCCTTCCTCCCTTATTTTTATCAGTAAACAATGTTAAGATAGGACTTTGAAGAGTATGGGAGAGCAGAGTTCAAAATTTAAAAGGGAAATTACGCTGTTATGTTATTGTGTGGTACTTAATTAGGAGTCCTTTTTTTTTTTTTTTACCATGTGGTTTTTTGAAGATTAATGCTATGCACTTTCTGTGTATATGCACACCTATTTATGTCTTGCCGAGGCAATCATATACAATTTTATTCTGCAGACTGGTTCTCATAGTGTAGTGGTTTTGTTAATTGTAGTTTTGTTCGCTGCCTGTATGTGTTTGCTGCCAAAAATGATATAGGTTGGTGTTGTTTGATAAAGATAACTCGAAGTCGATTTAGGGTTGAAGTTAATTTAAACAATAGTGAAATTACATCAAATTCTCCATAATGCTGCTTGAGAAATATGCCATTTTTATCATATCAGTTGCAGAAGATGTCTTGCATATGAAACTTTCCTCTTTGGTTGGATATTGAATTTTGGCCTGCATTTGCATTGCTAGATGCCTGGGAAGATACATCTTGTTCTGGAGTACTGCAAAGGAGGTGATCTTTCAATGTACATTACACGCAATGGAAGTGTCCATGAAGCAACTGCAAAACACTTCATGCAGCAGCTAGGTATGCCACTAGGTCTTCTTGGTTGCTTTTTTTCCTCTATATGTTCATGTTTCACATTGAGTAACTTGGTGATTCAGTGACTTTTTCTTTTATTTTTTTTTAAGCTGCTGGTCTAAAAGTTCTCCGTGACAATAATCTTATACACCGAGATCTAAAGCCCCAGGTTCAGTTTATTCTTTTTGGTTGAAGTTAATATTCTGATTAATGTTATAGGTGCTTGCACTTATATCTCTTGATTCTCTTAGACAAAAAGTAAGTTCATACAAATGTCATATGTATATTCTTTAATCATACTGAGATTAGGATTTATATGTAAGAGATGGCACTTCTGTTCCTCTTAACTGGTTTTGATTTAGAACATTATATAGTGTTGCAAAATCAGTTATCCTGGGAGATATACATCAGAAAAAAGGTTAATGATGCAAAACCATGTTCTTTGGTATTGTGCTAGACTGGTCCATTCTATTTAACTTTCAGTGAATATTTTCTGTTTATAACATTTATTCTTTTGGAGCAGAACCTTCTGCTCTCCACAAATGATGACAATGCAGTTTTAAAGATTGCTGATTTTGGATTTGCAAGGTAAGTGATCACATCTCCCACTACAAAATAGAAAAGAATAAGAAACTTTCAAATTTCATTAGTCCTGGACTGGTCACCAGTCTGCATACCATGATGTCATCTTCCCATAGGATTTTGATGAATAAAACTACGTTTCCATCATCCTTCCATGGTTCTCCCGTCTCTGCTAGCTATTTGCAACCTTGCAAATAATCTTTTTCTTTTTGTTTTTTTTTTTTTTTTTTGATGCTACACCTAAGACCACCTATGTTTAGTTGTTTTTATAATAGCTTTTTGTCATGGTTCTCTTTTGGTAGATCTCTGCAACCAAGGGGGCTTGCAGAAACTATGTGTGGTTCACCACTTTATATGGCTCCTGAGATAATGCAACTACAGAAGTATGATGCCAAGGTTAAATTTGCCTTTTTCACCCCTTTTTTTTAAAAAAAAAAAATGAAAATCTTTTCTTATTTTCCTTCATATTGGAATCACATTCTGTTAACCTTGAACTGAATACACAGGCAGATCTCTGGAGTGTTGGTGCCATTTTATTTCAGCTTGTGACTGGGAAAACACCATTTACTGGAAACAATCATTTACAAGTTCAGTTAACGCACCCTTGCTCTCTTTTTATTCTTTTCTTTTTTGCATGGTCAAAGTGCTACCATATATTTGGGCTTGGAAGATCCATTTTAGAAAAAGGTGACCATTTTCATGCATTTATAGTTGATTAACTTATATTTCTATATATGTTATCATCCAGTTACTTCAGAACATTATGAAATCAACGGAGCTGCATTTCCCAGTAGAAAGTAAGAATTTAAGTTCTGATTGCAAAGACTTATGCCAAAAGTTGCTTCGGCGTAATCCAGGTATTCCATAAGATAGATTTGCCACTGAAATCTTCCTGTGATTCTGAAGTAAATGGCTAGGAAAAAGGACCATCGAATTTGTCTTGTCCATGTATGATGTGTTTCAAAAATCTGTGACCTCTAATTAGGCAAAAAGCAAAAGGATTAAAGTCAGATACAAAATGTGTATATTTAAATATTTTTCTGAGATACGTGAATTCAGTATCTGGTTTGAGTGATAGGCATGAATAACATCACTCCTTGTTAGAGGCTACTTATTCAACCTCCCATGGTATCTGTCAAAACTCGAATTAAATGTACATGACCTGTAAGACTGTAACCTATCTAGCATAGGTTGCTGATGCTGACCATCTGACATTGTTTATGCCTTTGATGTTCTAGGCATTGATGGGCTTCCTACCTGATTGTTGACTAAGCTTATGAGAATTGATAAAAGTGCGTGCTCTAGTTTGTACCTGCTGGCTTTAAAATTGTGCCCTGAATCTTTTTTTTTTTTTTTGCTTGCTATCCTTGCATCTACAGTGGAAAGGTTAACATTTGAAGAGTTCTTTAATCATCCCTTTGTTTCTCAGGGGCAGCCAGATGAGTTGAGGTAAATGAGATATTGATTGTTGATGTATCATACCCCTTGGTTTCCAGAAGGATTAAACTTTTTGGTATGTGCAGGAGCTGGAGATTTTCAAGAACAATGGATGACATTCCTTTGTCTGAAATACATCCTTTAAGGAACACAGAGGAAAGTTCTCAAGAGGATTGTCTACCTTTCCTTCTTGATGATGATTCTAGTGGGACCGAGGGGAGTCCTTCCTTTGGGAAGAGGAGGTCCTCAGTGAAGTCTACGTTTGGATTTTTTACAGATTCAAGAGAAAAGAGGGAAGCTACATCTAATAATGCTCTTAATAACTTTGATCATACATCCAAATATGGTGGTATCAGACATAAATTGGAAAATATTAGTATTAGGCCTGAAAGCAACAAGTTTTCACGTGAGACTCCACATGAACCTCAGAAACCCATGGACCAAAAATTAGTCAATACTCGGTTAAGAGGTATCAACAATTCCTTTATCTTTAATTTTTCAATTCATTAGAATATAATCTAGTCCCTAACATGTCTTGCATAGAAAAGGAACATTCTCTCTTAATTATCATCTGTGCTTTTTTTCTGCAGTTGGGGACCCACTAGAGATGATTGATCAGGACTATGTAATTGTGTCTGGACCGCCCATGGATGTGTCATCTTCATCTGCAAGTAATTCCAAGCCAAATTATATACATAAACTGGGGAGTCCCCCCCTGGCATCCATCAGTCGTCCAATCACATCAACTCCCCCTATGCCAATCATTGGTGCCACTAACACTAACATCTATCACGTTGGAAGCTCAGAAAGTCCAAACTCTGCTCCTGGGACTTCTCAAGGATCAACGGATATGGGGGATGTTCTGGAACAACCATTAGCTCACGGCCTGACAAGGATAAAGTCATTGAAGCAGTGTGCATCTGCAATTAAAGAATTAGTACATGAAAAGGTTAGTCATATCATGCCTTCATCAAATTAATCCCACTCTTCATAGTCCCTACGTTAGCAGTTAGGTACTATTCTTATGAATGCAATAATGCTAGAAATACTGGTAACCACTTCTTTTCTTTCTCTTCTCTACACCTTATCTAGTTAAATCTGCCACCTAGGCTTTCCGGAGCTTTCTTTAATCTTCTTTTTTTTCTTTTTGGGGGGGGGGAGATAAAGAGCTTTATTTAATCTTTAATATTAATATTAACTTAAATGTAACTTGATAATGATTCTTTGAATAGATTGAGACTGGCAAACAACTAGATGCATTCTCGATTCAGCTTGTTATCCTCGCAATTTGGAAGCGGGCACTGCATATTTGCCACACACAGGCTGCCTCAGCTGTAGAAGGAAGTCCAAGTCAAGACAGTGCCAGATTGAGGAGTGGCAGCAAGAAGCACGGTTCTCCTGATACAGAAGAATGTCAGGACGTAGTCAGCGCTGAAGGTCAAGAAAACATTTTTTCAGAGATTGAGAGAGAATTCCTACAGGAAGTTGAGCAAGCTGAAGAACTTGCCAAGGTTATTGAGCCTGGTATGCCTTCGAATATAACCCTCTGATGTAGGCAGGCCCACTTTTTCCCATCGTATTCTGTTATTGGCCCTTGCATGTAAGATGATTCCTTATCTGGTAATGCAGACTTATGAAGGATTATTTCAGACACAAAATCGTTTACATGATTAGCAACTGTCATCATCATCATTATTTTTATCATTGTAATATAAGTTGGTGGGCCTGTAGATTGAAGTGAAGTGAAGGAGCATTTCATAATATATGATCATTTTCTGGATCCTTGCTACCAAATGATTTCCTATCATGCTGGTGTTATTAACATTTTCCATCATGCATCTTTTATGATTCTGAAAACCGTTTTTCATCATGATTGCAGGAAATACAAAGATGCCTGATGCAATGGAGACAATATTCGAAGCTGCCCTTGCTTTGGGCAAACGTGGAGGAGTAAGTGTTCTTTTCTCTAGAAACATGTACTGCCTTCTCTAAATAATTAATTGGCTGGGGACCCTTTTTGGCTTATTGATCCTCTGAAAATCTTATTGTGACAGGTTGATGAAATGATGGGTAATATGGAAACTGCAGCTCTGTCATATTCAAAATCAGTGCGGTTGTTAGTCTTCCTTCTTGTGGAAGCACCATCCCTCATTCTCAATCCTCCATTCTCTCTCACAAACTCAAACCGGTATAGACTTAGACATTACATTGAAATCCTTAATCATCGTCAAGTTTATTCAAGATCTCAAAGAATGTGACTTCTCAAGTGCAAGGATCAGCTATGAAACATTCTTTTCTTTTTCTTTCTTTTTTCCTGTTTTCTTTTTTTCCTCCCCAGATTAGATGACTAGCCGAGTTTTATTGTTTACTATATTTGTTTGTACAGCTATTCTTTCAGTAAGGATGTCCACAGGGGTCAAACTGTATAAAGGATAGATGGATGTTGTATTATTCTTATTCATGTTTAATTCACCTGTGATAGAATTGTCTGCTTTTATCAATGTTTTTATAACGAAGTAGAAAACTCACCAACCTGCTATTGACTTTTAATGTATTTTTAAATTTTAATTTTTGCTTATAAGTAAATCTAAATTGCATTTATAATATAAATTTATTGGGGAATTTACACAGATTTTAGAAGGAAAAAACAGAGTTCATATTTAATATCACTTGAATCTATCACTATAAAATTTTTACATAAAATAAAAAAATAAAAAAAATAAGAATCCTAGCTCTTATGGTAATAAATTATCAAAATTGCTTGTTTGCATATTTAGATCAAGTAGTTTATCATTTATTTTTTTTAGTAAAAACACTTTTAGGTTTAATGTTTTAATTTTTAAGATGCTTTTTTCTCTTTCTCATAAAATGTTAATATTATTTGTAAACTTGTACAAAAAAAAAAAAAC